TGTGTTCATGCGCGCTTGAAGTCTTTCATTATTTCCCGGTGGTCACAAAAAAGCTGACGGAAAGAGAAAGGTCACGAGCAGCAGTTCAGAATATAACTAAAGAAGGCTGGAGACAGCAGAGAGAAAGGAGCCATTATTTCATTGGATACAATTGCGAACCATAATCAGAAGAGCAATAAAATAAAAGCCAGCGTTCCACCTTTCTAACATATCAGAGGGTGACACACAACAGGCCATTGTAGGTCAAGGGAACCAATGCCTCGCCTGCTCGGTTATCATGTGTCATTGAGAGTTAAAGGCTAGTTTTAGTTCAATTGAGCCCAATTACTAATGACGAGAATCTTCAACCAGAAAGTAGAAATTGCAGTAAATTAGCAAAATCACACGCTGCATTCTTTGGCTGGATAAACAAAGCTCCCAGAAGCAAACGCCAACATTTCACACTAATTGTATACAGTGTGCACTTTATATAAACTTTCATAGTATCCTTTTTTTCAATCTTCATGATAAGAAATCAAAGTACTTTACAGCTCCTTTCCCAGAGGCGAAACAACGTGTGCAGACAGATGTCAATCAAGCTTCCGCTTTGGAAAACTGCAGCTCGTTAAACTTCAAGAGAAAGCAAACAGCTTCTCCAGTTTTTTGTTAGTTTGTTTTGTGAAGTTTTCTCTGAGACTTTTTATCACCATCCCAAATGTGTTTTTGCAACTGCGAGTTACTCCACGGGTTCCTTTGTCTATGAACAGCACATTGACAAAGTAGTTTTAGCATTCTTATATTAATACGATGCGTCCTCAAAACCTGCATGGAAATGGGACGCAACCCTTACACCTTCATGTTTGTGTTGTCTGTCGTGTGAATTACAACCATATCATTTGCAGTCTTAACAGTGCATTACACACATTGATCCATCTCTCACTTTTACTTCATCATTAAATGTTTATTACTAGTGTGAGTGAGCTCTCCTTCACCTGCTACATGCAACACAGTGCAACACAGAGAGACCATTTCCCTAGGGCATGTCGAAAGTCATTCTGGGAAATGAAGGAACTCAAGAGTACTGTAGATGTTGTCGAGTCAGACTGGGGGCAGATACACCAAAACAGTAAATTATGCATCGAGCATCTCATATTGATGCCTGGCAGTGAAAGAGTATCTGAATGTGGATTTATATTCTCCTTGAGATTGTGTTCCCCGAGGTAATAATGGCGCTTATTCCTTAGGTGCTATTTAAAGGGAGGAGCCTCTAGCACTGTGTTTGAGAGTATTCTTGTATGCCATTGCTCCCTCTTGAGATCCTGATATCATGAGAAAGCAACTGAATCCAGAGAATAGCAGCTTACTACGACTGCCTTTGTGAAAAAGGAAGGAAAATCAAGAAAATATGTTTGCTTTTTCTTGAAGGAAGGTTGTCAAATGGTAGCATGTCCTTAGCCATACTATATATTTGAAAGCCTGCAACGGCAAAAATAAGGAGGTTGTATAGAACACAACTCTGAAAAAAGACTGTCAAACGTTTCAAGTGTTCAAACTCCTAGCACCCAGCGCAAAGCACGCGTGGAGAAAAACCCCCAGGTAAAATTAAGGTAATCTACTTAAAGTATGAGAGTAAAATAACTCATTCATACATTATTAAATATTAGTTTATTATTATCCATGCAGAACCATGGAAGATGCATTTTGATGTAACTGGTTGCAAAAAGGCTTACTAGTTATCTACTGTGTGGGGTTGATTATACTGTATAACAACACATTGTATTGCAAATGCTCATTATAATGTAGGATCTTTCTTTCGCAAATTATCTAGTAATATATGGGATGAAAAACTGTTGAAGTAAAAAGCACAGAGTACTACCTCTGAAATTGAGCAGATTAAAATTGAAATCCTTATTTAATTAAACCCTTAAGTAAGTAGAAGTATCTTACATTCGTTTGGTACAATTATTGAGTAAAGTTACTTTGTTACTTTCCTTCACTGTCTAAAAGGGCGTCGAATTGTCCAATACAAGACAATCAGGTCAATACACATTAGTAACCAAACGATTCCGCACAGTGGTGGTGGTGTTGTTGTTATTGAAAGAGGATGATTCAGACAGCTGAGGAAGCTTCTTGAAGTGGAGTCTTTCATCCTCTGGGCTCTGAGGACACCAGGGAGATTGACATTTGACACCCTCTGGGGACGGAAGAACACTCATGAGAACTTCATTGTCTTTTTGCTTGAGGGCAGTCATGCCTACTAGACATATAAACTGCTGACTGGTGGTGGTCAGGGCCGTGACACAGCCCACAGCGGCTGTAACATCCGTGGTGAAATTGCTCATTTGTGTTGCTACGGCAGGAACAAAAACAACTCAGTCTAATCTGGAAGCTTTAACCTTTAAGCGACTCCTTCCATAATTCTACCAACAATGCTGCAGCTTACTGCGGATGTTCGTAGACTTCAGAACACTGTGAAACTCTCACCGACATTTCAGAAAGGGCATTGTCTTCAGTCCTGCCAAGTATCACGGAGTTGTCTTCATCCGCTAACACAGCGCTAAGGTTCTGTGCTGCCTTGCATAACTGCTGCCATATAACATCCCTCTTTCCTGTCCATCCTCTTTGTGAGAGCTCTTGAGCTTTGTACGAGGAGTTGGAAGCTATAATCGCAAACTTTCTTCTTGTCATCTGATGACATAGTATGGTTCTTAGTTGTTTTCAGTCCTAATTGCAGCGTGCTCGGCACTGAGGTGACACTGGTTAGATAACCTGTATAGGATCACAATGGGTCTATCCAATAGTGTTCGAAAGACGCATTGTGATTGGCTGAACCAACGCAGGCTAATTACAGTCTGTGGTTATTTCTAGGAATTGGGAACACAGCCCTCTGGAAACGGAACTACATTACATCCTCTAATTTCTTTTTTAGGCAACATGAAACTATTAAAATAGTCACACCAAATGATCCAGAGCTATCCAAAGCAGCATTATTATCCATAAAACACCATGGTGTGCTTTAAAATATGTTTGTTCTCACTTCGAGACACATCCACGTGCAATGTGCAACCGTCATCTCACTCAAAATGAACGGTCACATTGGTGTAAATGATAATATACAGTATCGATTCAAACTCCCACAAAGAACACACCGAATGGTTTTGATCTTTTGACCTTCTCTCTTGCACTTCAGTAAGGCTAAACCTTTAATGGTCTCACAAAACAAAGATTTTACTTTTGACAAGTATATTATTTATTTTTCTGACTTTATGACCTATGAAGAAAACATTCTCATCTAATGGTCTGGTACTAACACAGCCACACATGTTGTTTTCTAAGCTTTTTCATTTGTTGTATACATGCTGTGCTGTATTGCCCTTATTTAATAAGTCATTTGTAATTGTTTTCTTCGATTGCAAAATGTATGACTCATCTCCTTCAACTTTGGTCTTCTACTTTATGTTTAGAAAAATAGTGGTGACTACAACTTAAAAAATAAGGAAATGTAATCAACGTTTTATATTTAATAATGTTTAACGTTAAAATGTTATGGACTTGGCCTCTGTGTTTTAGGTAGATGTTCCTCTCTGAAGAAACCGCTTGGCATTTGACATATCCACTCAGTAATTGAATGTGTGAGGCGTACAATTTGTATTTGTTTTCACAAATCTAGAAAACTATTGGTCCTGTGCGCGATGAGGCTTGTTGAAAACAGTCATTTCCAATGCACATTGAATGTGGAGTGTACACATTTCTCTTGTAGGAGTGCAGGGAAGAAAACCTGCCTCTGACTGCAAGTGTTGCAAGTCTGAGGTGTAATTTTCTCCTTTACATTTGAAGTTCAGCTGTGTGGGAGGCTTGTTATTCATGCAGATGTCACAAGAAAAGGCTCTCTCCTTCTCTCGTTCCTTCTCTCCTCTCTCTCTAGTTCTCTCTGCCTGTCTTTGCTGCCCTAATTCAGTGCTGCAGTGGGCTTGTTCAGTCCATGCCTTATTGTTTGCTACTTCTTTAACACCTACATAATGTATTTCATTAGAATCAGCTGTCAGACCCTGTCTGTTCCACTTCATCCCATCACTCTTTTTTTTTAATAGTCGGGGGCTCTTAGCAGCAAATAAAAAAAACTAGCCTGTATTTTTTCTTCTTCTTCTTCTTTTTGTCATGCATCTTCCTCTGCTTCTCGCCTGTGTGTTTCTTCCTCTGCCGGGAATTCAATTATCCTGGCTGTTGTTTTATGATGTTGTGTTGACATCCGATGACGGATTCATTATCTCATCTCCCAGCGTGACAGCGTTGTAGAAACAGGACCGCTGTTTCCCACAGCAGTACGCATTCAGCTTTACATCTGGACTGTGTAACCCTTTCTGCTCCAAGCTGCCCGTCTGAAGTCTTACTGTAACACTTCCTGTTTCCCTTTGTAATACAAACATGTTTAGTTAAGATCTTTCTGAGTAGTCAGTAGTTCTGAGGTGACCGAATATTTAAGAAATAAGTAAATGCTTTAATAGATATGAATTACACAACAGTTTGGAGATGTCTAGAGAGAGTCCTTCTTTGTGTCAGACATATGAATAGTTCTCTGAAAATTCTATCCATTTGCTTTTTAGTTTGCTCTCTGTTATGCAGAAATTATATATAAATATATCCTGGTGAATAATGTTTGCATATATTTGTTGAATATACGAGACCTAAATGAAAGCTATGGGATTGATTTGCAATGTTTTCACTTGTTTGCAAGTTTTATTCATGATCCTGGGTGACAGGAAGGTTGGCATGCTGCAGTGGCAGAAGCATCGTGGTTCTGTTTTAATATGGAAATGACTAACCTCTGCTGGGGTTACAAGAAGGTCGGAAACTGTCGCAGACTCCTGTCTCTTTGATCGTTCTCTTTTTGTCTTGTTAAAAATTGCACAAAATCGGAAAATAACCTCACATAACATGGCATGATAGAGTCTTCAAATTCACAGACGGTGCGCCTTCCACCTCATTATGTACATTCTTTAATAACCTTCTCTGTGTTGCAGGGAATGAGTTCGGCCATCCTGAGTGGCTGGATTTCCCAAGAGAGGGGAACGATCAGAGTTACCACTATGCCCGACGGCAGTTTAACCTATTGGATATGGGTAACCTGCGCTACCATCAGCTTTTCGTCTTTGACCGAGACATGAACCTAACTGAAGACAAGTACGGCTGGCTGGCTGCCCCCCCGGTAAGGACATCACACACTCACCGTACAGTAGGCTTTGTGCTGACACTTTGTGACAAAACCCCAAACAAATATATTGGCAAGGCACCATTCTTCAGTCTCTTACAGGATATGTATTCCTTGTAAACACTTCTGGTGTCTAAGCCAATTGTTTATGAATGATTAAACCTATATATGAATATTTCTTTTTAGGATAAATGTATTTCCTGTCCCCCATCTTTACACACCTTTACAATTTCTCATATCGGAGAGTACTCAGGTGGAGATAAATGCTCCATAAAGACTTCATTTTGCAGATGTCCCTGTTTCTGTGGCTGCTGTCAAGGTGAACAGTAATATATTTCTCTCTCATCCTGCAGCCTCTCTCTTTGCCTAGATTTGAAGTCTATGGAATAAAAAAATAAGTGTTTTTCTCTTCAGGGGCTGGTTGCAAAGTAATGGGATAATGCAAATGGGGAGTGTGGCTAAATTGACAGGGATTAGAAGTGAGTCTGTGTAATTGATTCAAAAAAATACCCTCCCTCAAAACCTGGAAATGAGTCCTCAGATCAGAGCTATACTTCCCCTTGCTGCGTTACACTCTGACCTGCGTATTTCTCACTGACTGACACACGAATGCTGCCCAGAAGGAAATGTATCACAGAGCATAATTAGTCTCTTTCACATGTTTAATTTCTGTACCTTGGTACATCAATGAGAAATGTGTTCTAACTTACTGGAACACCCTTTACAAGTGGATTAAACAGAGTGTTGGAGGTAAGGCAAAGGGAAAGCAGAACCCGGCTGGTTTCTGAGCTCCCTGTTGGGGGAATGAAAGGAAAGGCAGATCCCAAAGGATGCTACTGGCAGGGAAGACGCATACATTTGGCAGCATTGCTGACCTGCTACACATAGGGTGGTGTTTATATGCCTTCAACATGTGAAATCATATAGAGGATTACACCATATTCTTAAGATTTCATGTTATTTAGATCTTTGATTGATTTATTATTCTTATATTTGTATTTTGAGTATTATTATTGTTTATGACCATAGCAAGAGGCCAATCTTTTGAACAGTCCTTGAGCATAAAAACAAATTAGGGCAGTTAGAGATTAGGGAGGCCAGAGAGGATCTGCATACATTTAGTGTTTTGCTATGATCGTAAAGATTTTGGTAACAATGTTTTTGACATACTTGTATTGTTTAACGTTATAATCAGCTTATATAGCACTGTAAACTATTGGTGCCAAAAGACCAGCTGGAGTTGAAATATATTTTTTAAATCCTATATTGGAAGGTACAATCGGGATGAGGTGAGGTAAAGTAGGCGCAAATATTAAAATACATGTTTTGTAAAACCTAAGCAGTGTGAAGAAATACATAATAAATCTGTTTCTGCGGCTGACCCTGTGCTCCGGTATCTGATAGTGGAGACAAAAATGGCTTATTCAGGAATTGATAAAATATCACAAAAATACTTTGTAGAACATCACTTACAGATTACGGTAATAACTGCTCAGACATTTTGCTGTAATAACCAGATAAGTCTGAGTCCTCTGTTCTGCTTCTCAATGACGTTGCCAGGGGTTTCATGCTTAGTGGGAATATTTTTAAGCTCGGTTCAATAATACACTGAGGTGGGAGGATCCAAGGGCGTTATGTAGTTGAAATGAGCAGCAGATGAGGATCTATTTTTTCAGGTGAGAGAAGAGGGAACAATAATAATAATAATAATAATAATAATGATGATAATAAAATGTACAAAAATAACAACAACAAAAAAATATATATATTAAAAAATTTCAAGTTTATTTTTATTGAAAACACATTTTGATTTAAATGTTTTTATAAAGGAATAAGAATTACATTAATTATGAGCCAAATAAATCAAGTTGCTTTTATCTTTAAAAAAAAGGTTAATAGAGCCAGTTTCTCTATTAGCTTTTGGTAGGGTGTTCCATAGCTTTGGAGCATAGATAAAAAAAAATATTTAAAAAAGCTTTGCTGCTTTTTTCCTGTGTGTATAATTGTGTGTATTTAAAAACCCAGCAGCATAAGATCTGAGAGTTTTTGCTGGATTATAAAATGACAGAGAGAGCCTGTAATGTTGGCCGGTCCCAAACCATTAATAGCTTTTAAAACATGCAGGGACTTTGCTTAAAAGTGTTTTTTGTGAACGCCTCATTGAAGATGTGCAGCTGTGAGCTTCAAAAGGCCAAACTCTGGACATGAACAGCAGCTCCTGTTAGTGCAGAGACTTCATCACCATGTTTCCACAAACTGTGCTGTTTGCACCTGCAACGATCTTAACCTACATTCCAGTGGGAAAAGAAGAGCCAGGAAGGAGGGTTGTAGAAATATTACATTCCAACTGTGGTTTTGCAAAAGGATTTCAGTGCCAAGGTCACAAATGGTGCTGCTGTAAGCATTTACCTTTCTCTCATTGGCCAAGATTTTACCCAAAGGTGCTGTTTCAGGTCAGACTTATGCTGGATGCAGGGACGGATAGGTAATTAAAACCATAGAAACTTACAAACATGAGCAGATTCCAAATGTAATCACAATTATTAAGGTGAGAATGCATATTTTCCTTACCTTGGGTCACAACTCAATGGATGCAGGGTACCCCTTTACCCAAAATGTGTGGACTGGAAATGGACTTGGTGAGAGACTCCAGACTGTCAGCTCATCCCTAACCTCCACCCTCTCTGCAGATTTAGTTGCTGGGGTGCTTATCTTCTCATCCAGCCGTGAATATGCTGCCCTGAAATTGGCTCGAGGAACAAGGCACTAAAAATAGGGGGTTGGGTGACATTGATAATCTCTGCTAATGACACGTTAACAGTAGCCCGCTCCACAGGAGAGTGGTGGCTTCATAATGTGCAGCTGTCTAGAGCTGACAGTGTGTGTCTAGCACTGTCCTGGGCTGCCACGTTCTGCTGAGGAGTGCCACCTGAAATTTGATGTAGGAACGTTACTCAGCCTATTTCAGAATAGTCCACTGATACAGTACGTGTCAATTTTCCAAATTCAAGATGGGAAAGGGGGTTACTATTCATGACAAACTAATTTATAAGCCTTTTTTTTCTCTTTTTTTCCCTCCAGGCCTTTGTCAGCGCCAAGCATGAAGAGGACAAGGTCATTGTGTTTGAGCGGGGACGTGTGCTCTTTATCTTCAACTTCAACCCCAGTAAGAGCTTCCAGGACTACAGGGTGGCTGTAGAAACTCCAGGAACGTATCCTTTAGTCTGTCTTGGCAAAGCTTGTTTTCCTTTAAATATTCAGGAATTGGCAGTCTTCTGTCACACTTTCAAGGCCTCGTAAAGTAAAGAGGCCTTTGTTATTTATTATTATTATATTATTATTATTATATTATTTATATACAACAACGTGACTAATATTTTAGGGTTGACAAAATCGCTAACTGCTAAATATTTCAACAGAGGCAGTAAATGTCCGGAAGGGCAGCAATGGTAAGGTGGGAAGTATGATCTATGTGCAGTGTGCACACTAACACTTTCAAAGCTTAAAAAAAAGTTGTAAACGTTTTTGGGAATGCCCATGTCTGTGCAGAGCTTTGGGCCAGAGTGAGATGAAGTAGGTCAACAACTTTTTTGTAAATACATTAATAGTCCCCACTGGATATATCTTATCAACTCTAGTTCTTCTTTTACTTTCGTCCAGCACCAAAGCCAGTGGCCACATTCTCATCAGATCGGCATTTGCTAACATTACAATGCCACTACTGTGGCTGCACGGACATGTAAATGATAAGAGTAGCAATATTCTGTTTTTAACGTCTACAAAAAAGCCAAGGGAAACGGCATACAGAATGTTATGTTCCCATAAACTTATATTCTTATTAAGTTTTGATCTGCAGTATAACACATGTGCAGGTCAAGCTATAACCTACAATAGGAGACAGCTTATCCTTTCCTGTGCGAAACCAAAAGTCATAATTTATTTTAGTTTAAGTCCACAACTTTAACAACAATACAAACATAATGTAATCCAACAATTATCTAAAAAACAAACCATCATGACGTAGCAAGTGTGTTTAACTCCTATTTTAGTATTAAATACTAGAGTAAGATGAGTTGCAATAAAATAATCTTACTTGAATACATAGCTGTCCGTCAGACACTGGAGTTTATCTGCAGTTTAACTGGTCCCTGAGGCAGTAACATATACTGTACATGAGTTTTCCCTTATATAGTTTCACCAGTCATCTTCACTTTTAATTGCTGATATGAGTTTGAACGCTCGACATGGTTCAAAGTGAATCTACTAATACATTTTAAGGGCATTGAAGATGCTAAAAATCTCTGAGAAGATGCATTGCTCTGCGCTGACATGTGGATCAGGGATCCAAACAATGTCTGACTTATTTCAACTAAATATGACTTGTGAACACAAAGAATTGTAATGGGGGTATTATTTTTGAAGCCAATACTTTAGCGATATATTCTAAGCAGTCACTGTGGTATGGAATGGGTCAGTGGTTTGAACTAGTGTGGTAATGCTATCAGAGGGAAATAATAGCAGAGCCCAGTGATTCAGAAAGCGGCTTCTTTAGCGGTATTTGGCGTCTGTCTTCGCAGCGAGCAGCGCGGAGGAATTTAATGAGTCCCACAGTTGTGATTGCAGTAGGCTTAATGATCAGGGATGTGAAGGGGGGGACAGGAAGCTGACAGATTTGTATTTATTGTAACGGACATCACTCTCTTCTAGAGATACCGCCAACAGTTTCCCGGCTGGATACAATGCCGCGTTGCTTTTTCAGCTATGACTAAAATAATATGATGGTGAGTTTGTTAGTTTCCTCTGGATGCCTGTGGTGAAAAGCTCTACACATGAGCAATTTACTCTCAAATGATGATGATTCGATTGGCTGATAATAAGGCTGTTAAGCAGCAGTGGTTCCTTTTGATTCCAACATTAGTTTCTTTGTGTCATTTAAATGTTAAGGCTAAGATAAGTTAAGTATTTCTTATAATTAAAATAAACAAAAAGAACTGTGACAACATGTAATGAAATAGCCCTAATTTAAGTATCAGCAAGATGATATCATTATATTAAGCGGTATGCTTTATAACATTGAGATCAGTTAAGGAGAATTATATTGCATATATTGCAATATATTTTGCTAGTGTTAATCACCATCCACAAAAAAACAACAAAAACATGTTGTTGATTGTAAATAGTGACTCCGAACAATAATCAAGTTCATTTAATGATTAAAATACAACAGTAGCAACCCCCTTAACATCATGCGTTAATTATAAGCTTGTTTGATGTGCAGTAATTGTTCTTTCTGCCTCGTGTTGCCAGCTCTGCCTTGATGGGGTGAATCTCGGGCACACCACTAATAGCCTTTCTGCACAGTGTCTGTAACACCGTTTTTGAGGGTTTATTTTCATTTAGATGGAACCACATATTTTCCTCCTGGTGCCTCTTTTGATGTCTAAGAAGCGGCCTCAGACTCTGGGTGGGTTGAGAGGAAATGCAAATAAATGTGAGGGCAAAGCTCTGGCTGTCATTATACAGAGAAGCAGTAAACACATAAAGGCAAATCTGCTGTGTGTGTGAGGAAGGTAAATGCGCCGTGTGCATGAGGAGATGCAGATCCTCCGATGGGAATGTGTGCAGAGGATCCAATTAGGGGTGAAGACAGATGAAAGTGCCACTCAGAGGCAGAGAAGGTAAACAAGACAAGCTCAAAGAGTCCAAAAGTGGTTTTTCATTACACTCAGCTTTCATATACTTACACTTTCTACTACCTGCGAGGGTCAGGGATGTCACAGTGGAGCCACACACCACTGCTCCATCTAGAAATAATAGCTGGATGCGGCTGACCATGCTGGGCACCGCTGAAAATGGATCCAATACAGGGTGTTATTTCCTTTGGCAATGTGGCAAGCCGGATATCATATCAGAGGATGTCCTTCTGCAGCAAAGAACGCATATAAGCCCCACCTAGTGGCTGAAATATGTTACAGCATTACTACGTCTAAAACTGTTCCAATACAAATATTTCGTATATCAATATTTTAATAAGGTAGGACACTGGTTAATAATATTGTAGCGTATTCAAGTAACCAAGGGATATAGTAGTTATCAAATAAGTATAAGATGTGCACAGTTATGATAAGTTTTACAGTTATGTAATGCACTGTTGTTGGGGGGAGAGACCGCCCCTTCCATATGAGTGTGTGTGTGTAAGGCGGGCATGAGGCGTGCATGACGAGTTGTATTCGTATGTGGAAAAGTCATACTCAGTGCGGTGAACGCTGGCTTTATTGCTGTGTACTGACGTCAGTAAAAAAGGTTTGCCCCCCCCAAGTGCAAATGTCAAACTCCGCCTATGGATATAAGTTACCTTTTGTGGACTGCTTGTTGGTGTGGATACATCTGAGGTTGGCAGAATGTTGCCCGGTTGGAGCCCTGTTAAAAAGGCATGCAGTTTGCATAGTTTTGTTGTTTTAATCATACATAGAAACTCTCGAAAAAATAGTTAGTTTAGTCAGTTAGTCGTTATTGCTCTGAGAACGAGTTGATATAGTTGTGGTTAGACGGAACTATACATCTTATATGTAGTTTAACTTCAAAGAGGACATATTATGCTCATTTTCAGGGTTAAAATTTTATTTAGTGCCTCTACTGTGACATCTTTACATGCTTTAATGTTCAAAAAGGTCTTTATTGTTCTCATACTGCCTGTGTTGCAGCACCTCTTTTCAACCTCTGTCTGAAATCAGAGCCCAGTGTGCTCGGATTGGTTAGCTAGCCGGCTCTGTTGTGATTGGTCAACCGCATGGAGATGTCCCGCCCCTTAACCTTTCACGTACAATTGGTTGGAGCATTCCTTCTGTCGTGAAATTTGGGATGTTAGCCTTTGCACCCCATTTACATTCACAAAAACCTATTTGACACACTACAGGAGGAGGCAACAGCAAAAAGCATAATAGGGCCTCTTTAAGATTAATAAATAAAAATTCAACACAGTCCTTCCTCACCATTCCTTAGTTTGATGCACAGTGACAAGAATTTCTTTTGCTTATCATTGTCCTCTTTTAAATGGGTTGTTATTCCTCCCGCCATGAGAAACAAGAGAGAAAGTGAAGCAGAGCACCTCACCCAAAATGTTGGCCATTAAAATGCATCAGCTTTCCGACAGGCATTCAAACCGTCAATGTTTTTTTTATATTTTCTGTATCTGACTCATGGTGGACACATTCTTCAGGCACTAGGCTTTATCTGGCTGGTTAGAGTATCTGAAATCCCAGTTGGATCCCGTCATGAAAGCTGTAGCTGTCAGGGCAGATTGCTCTTTGATTTACACTGTGCCAATAGGCAGGTGAGATTATGTCAGGTCATCTTTCTCTTCTCTGTCTGTCGTTCCATGAATGCCATTTTGAATCCTTCATCACAGGTGCCGTGACACTAACTAACTGGAATAAAGTAGCAGTCGTGCATAGGTGACAATAATTTAATCTGATATTATCCAGAATATACACGATATGTTATTTTAGAAAATGGCAAATATGCATCTATTTTCTTTAACCACAGCCTTCTTTATGATGCATCAAGATGGATTGCATAAACAAAGTAGCATTTATTTTCTCTGTGGGTTCTAACTCCAGATATCATCCACAAGCATCCTCATCAATCCGGGGCTTAATCTGAAATACACATTTTGTCGGTTTTAAATGACAAAAATAGGAGAAGCATTTTTTTAAGGAATTAAGGGACACTCCAGGTTGTTATAACTTCGGTCTTATTTTTGTAGTTTTTACCAACATTTCTCCATAGCTAATTATTTGTAGTCCTTATAATAACAGAGATGTTGTACATATATTTCTGTAAATACGCCTGTTTAGCTATTTTATTTTTTTTATACTTTAAAGCAGCGGTTTTCAAAGTGTGAGTGAGGTGCGCCTCCCCGGGGGGGGCGCCAGAGAAAAGGCACAGCGTGAGAAAAGAATAATGAGAAACAGTGAAATCTAGCTAGTTAACTTCAGCTAACTTAATGCGAGCGACAACATGGATCGATTTTTAGTGAAGTTACCTAAAGTGAGAGAGGAGACGGCGTCTGGCAGAAAACGGAGGAAGTATGACAATGATTATTTGAAGCTAGGATTTTCATGGACCGTTCCTGGCAGGGGCGGACTGGCCATCTGTGTGTTCTGGAGAATCACAGAACGGCCGGTCCGCTGACGGCCGACACCGCCCTTTATATAAATTGTAATAATACTTACTTTGATCAAAAGCAAGTACCGGTCAAGGCTGCAGCCAGCCAGAGGATGATCTGCGTTTATTCCTGTCTACATTGCATCCCGCGTCATCCGCCTGTGCGCATCAAAGATGCAGACTCATTGTTCCCACTAAAGTAGGGGTGAGTTTAATAGGACGCAAAGTTGACTTTCAGTGTGTTGCCGGGAGCATATAAGGATTTATCCACAATGTTGGAAATGTTAAAAATGTTATCATCCACAAGCATCCTCATCAATCCGGGGCTTAATCTAACATAAAGATAAAAAGGTTTAAAAAAGTTGTTGTTTAATGTTTTAAGGAGGTGACGCTACTCAGCCAATCAAATTT